GCACAGTGGCACGCTGGGGCAAGGTCCTGGGTTCTGGGAAGAGGAGCAGCAGGGGCAGATCTGTGGGGGCCCTCACCTGTGTCTGAGCCAGTCCAGCCCCCACTGAGGTGGGAGGACCCCCAAGAGGTAGTCGTGTGGATACCCCTTAGGGTTGGCCAAACCTGGACGCTCTGCCCTCTGCAGAGCCTTCTTCAAAGGGACCCCCGGCCCAGGAAGGGGGCAGGCAGGGCACCGGCCCCGGTGCAGACCAGGGGGGCCAGAGCCGCAGCATGTGGACTAAGGGGTGGGCCCACTTTGGATACGGTCGGGCGGTCTGGAGGAGAGGGTCTCTTTAGAATTCCGCAGGCCCTCTTCCGCTCCAAGGGGAAAATTAGGAACGGAATGGGGGCCGATCTCATTGACTTTGAACATCCCGCCAGCCTTGGCGCAGGGGCTTGAGCTGATCCTAACTGAGTTTGGGAAGACAAAGAAAAACATAGGCATTCCGAGTGTTTGGGGTGTATAATCCATACCTATCATTGTAATAGGTAGCAGGCTCTTGATTTCGAGACAACAGCAAAAACTAGTCTCAGTGGGAAAGCGCTCGTGATAAGAAACTAGCAAAATTTGGTTCATGATCTTATCCTCACTGAACAAAAAGTTCTAGAGAAACTAAATACATTTCGCCCTAAAGGAAGATGACTCTGCCCGGCAGACTTGCACACACGTGCGCACGCCCCCAGCCCAAGTCCCGGAGGCCCAGGGACAGCAGGCCGGCCGGGAGCCAGCAGCTCAGTCAAGCGGAGCACGGCAGGGCTTCGAAGGACGCTGTTTCGTTCAACATCCTTTCTTAGTAACAGTGATTCAGGAAATCAGTTCCGGGCTGGGGCCGCCTTCTGGGTGGAGTTTGCATGTTCTTCCTGTGCCTGTGTGGGTATTCTGTGGGTGCTCAGATTTCCTCCACATGCCAGAGATGTGCACGGGAGGTGAACTGGCGTGTCTGAGGTGTTCCAGTGTGAGCGAGTGAGTGTGTGTGTGCGTTCCCGCCACGGAAGGGCGTCCTGTCCAGGGTGCGTCCTGCCACACCCTGAGCTGCTGGGACAGGCTCCGGCCCCTGCGACCCTGAACTGGAATGAGCAAGCTGGAAAATAATTCTCCTTCTTGTTTCTTATTATTGTTTCTTAAATGTATGCATAGTTCACATTTATTTTACTGTTTAATCTTAGAAGTGTTTTGGGTCTTTATTTAAAAGTGTGCTGGTACTTTTTTGACCAGAAATATGCCACATGAACCCAACTCCTGTCTGTATCAGTTAGCTTGTGGTAAAATTGGTTCCTCGATGTGTCATTTCGCTTAAAGTCACAGGGGGCAGGAACCTACCTGCAACGTTAAGTGGGGACTCACGGTGCCCACCGGCTCCCAGCCTTCTCCCTCGGGTCGTTGTGCCGACGACAGGCAAGGCCGTGGGTTGCTCACATTTCCAAGAGCTGCTTGCCAGCAACCTCCCAAGTCCGTTTTTAGGGATCAACAAAAGTTGTTTTTTGCAAACTAAAATTGGCCCGCTGCTGGAGTTGCCAGGAATCCTGATTCAGTGCTTTTCTCAGTCCAGCAGTCCTGGCTCCCAGGCCACACCTCTCAGGCCACGCCTCCCGGCTGAGCCGCCAGCATCAGAACTCTGAGCACTGAGAGCACTCGCTGTTGTCTTCTGCTTTGGGGTCCCAGGTGGCTCGTTCTTACCACCGTTGCTAACGCAGACGGTAACAACCATCGCCCGAAAGAAAGATTTGCGTCTCACTGAGTGACACATAATGTCGCAGTCTTTCACCTTGAAAAGCAGGAGAGGGTAGCTGGGCTTGGAATCCGTGCTCTGCTTGAGCAGGGTGTGACCAAAACAGTTTGTTTCAGGCATAAGATGTCATTTCCTCAGTAGGGTGTGGTGACGGTTGTCGGAACTCACGTGTTGTGCACTTGTCACCTATACCTTTCATTGAAGGTAAATTCTACCTCAATTTAAGAAGAATCAAAATGAAAAAAAAAAAAACCCAACAGGTATAGGAGGCCAGAGAAGGCTCTTGAGAGTAATGAGTCTTCGTGGGCAGAGAGGCAAGAACGGGGAGCAGGTCGCGCCAACAGTGCGTAAGCGCTGTGTGGCAACAAGGAAACATCAAACAAATCTCAGTGGGGAAAGTCCTGTTTACAAGAAGGGGGGCCACACACCCTTAAAAACGTCAGAGTCACAACAGAACAAAGAAAGGCTGTGGAAAGGCTCCAGATTGGAGGAGGCTAAAGAGAGAGGACAACTAACTGCCATACCGGCCCAGCCTGGACGCGATCCGGGGGGAGGGAGGAACGCCGTGAAGGTCACCATGAGACCGAGTGACGGTGGGAGAAGAGACGGCAGGTCAGAGGGCAGTGTGGTCAGTGTAGGGCATGTAACCAGTGACCGCACGGAGGCAGGTAAGAGGATCCCTGTTCTCAGCAAACACGCACCCTGACGAAGTTTGGGGTAAAGGGTCCCCCTGCAGAGGTTCTGAAAACAAAACCACACATGTATTCGTATGCTAAAGAATTTCCTCACTATTGACCTGTGGGGGAGCGGGGGGAGAAGTACAAGGTAGGGTCCTGTTCCCAGGGTCATCCTGGGGTTGACCCTGGTAGATTTGGGAGAGTAAGGGGTGCCCAGCGATGTCTCAGTTCAGTGTCTGGTTCAAGGTTCAGCTGGTTTTCTTTGTGCAGCAGCGAGACCTCCAACAAGGTGGGCCTCACCCTGCAGTCTAGAATTCCTGAAACGCATGCACATCACACCCACAGCTGACTTGTGCAAACCTGGACTCAAGGCCAGGTTGTCGGCACCTGGAGAGGAACACAGCTGGGGGAGCGTGCAGGAACGCTTCCTTGTTGCTCACTCTGGAGAGAAAAGGAAGCAAATTCAGGTTTTTGTTAACAGGGCCAGTTCGAGGTTGGGCAAGTACTTTTTTCAACCTCCGTACCTCCAAGCAAGCAGAGTGTTACCAGAGATCCTCGTCCTGTCAGTAACTCCTGGAGGCCACATCGTCCCCATCGGTGGTTCATGACATCTTTGACTCCTGGGTCAGATCACTGCACTTGGACATGAGCCTGGCCCTGGCAAAGTTTGTACATTGGGGCAACTACATCTATTTTGTCTAATGCCAGAATTACCCAGGAGGACCCCGCAGCATCGTGGTAGATTTGGGAGAGGAAGGGGTGCCCAGTGATGTCTCAGTAGACTTTCAAAGACCACAGTGTCTGATCTCTCTCTGAGCTCACAGGGCCCTATGTGCCCCTCCCCAAACGTGGCTCACTTCCTGTGGGATCTGGGGCAGAAGTGAATGGGACCCAGTTTCCTGTCCACACAGCATGGCTGTGATTACTCTCCCCCTGCTGCCACAGAGGGAAAATACAGGATTACTTCATTCAGTGACATTTCCTAGGAAAAGAGAAACTGCCTCCTCGACCCCACCTGCTCTGGGACGTGTGTGAAAGGTTGCACTTCACTCCCAAATCTCCAGTTTGGGCTGTGGCGTCGAGAAGCTGAATATTTAGTCCTAAACTTTCCCCTGATAAAGGTGGAACTACTTGGGGGACTTGGAAGTTCAACTCCGTAATCAAACCAGTCTGCCTCTCTGCCAGCATATGCAAAACCAAACCGAGGTGCTGCATTCTGGGAGTTGAAGCCCGGCGGCAGAATAGGCGAGTGGTCGCAGCCAAACTTCTTTCCTGGGCATGTCGTGCTAGCTCTCCAAGGAGGGGAAAAGCTGAGAATAAGTCTGCTGTGTCTGCACAGGGACTGGGCGGTCTCTCCGGCCATGAGTCAGGGGAAGCTGTGCGAAAGGGTCCACAGCAGGAGAGGGGGCGTCTGTGATGCAGACAGTGGGGGAGCAGATGGTAGGGTTAAATACGAGAGAGAGTCACCACTTGCCGGCTATACACACTCCTAGAAGAAGCTACAGACAAAGCAACCTGTGATCTGCCAGCAGAGACCCAGCAGGTCAGACAAGGGGACAGCAGCCGTGTGCTCTTGGACTTCGAGGGACCAATGGCACCAGGGCTGGAGTGAGGCAGTGAGCGCAAGTCCAGCCCTCCAGCCAGTGCATCCTGCACCCGATCCGTGCTGGCCAACCTGGGTCTCAGAATGGTCTCTGGATAGTGTAGTGCAGCCCTGCAGTGCTCCTAGCTGAGCACACTACAGGTATTGCTTATTTATACGCACAACAGGCTGTTCTTTTATATTTTGAACACAATTTTTCAGCCTCATTAAGATATACTTGACATAGAGCACTGTGTAAGCTTAAGGTGTTCAACGTGGTGATACATGTGTGTATTACAAAATGATTGCCAAGGTCGGCTTGGTTAACACATCCATCACCTCACACAGTTACCATTTTATGGGTGTGTATGTGGTGAGAACTTTTCAACTCTACTCCCTTAGCAGCTTTCAAGTATACAATACAGTGTTGGCCTGAGTTCTTCACCAAAACAAGGAAACAGAGGCTGAAAGAGGTGACCTGCCAAGGACAAAATGTTTGTAACTGGGGGGCCAGGATTTGGAGCTGGGTCCAAATCTCACACATTGTACTGTTTTAAAACACACACACACACACACACACACACACACACACACACACTGCGCTGGATTTCCAGTCTCTGCTTCAAGACAGAGCTTGGTGTGGCTTTTCATATTTGATCCTAGGAGCTCTGCAGCCACACCTGCTTAGGAAGACACAGTGACGATTGGCCAGGAACCCCTGGGCATTCTCAGGCAACTGGTTCTTTGTCACCTGGATGGGATTGTCTCCAGCCTGGCTATACCTGTTGGCAGGGCCTCTCTGCTGGGACTCCAGAGCCCTGGTTCGAGCTGCCAAGGAGGTCATAAGGTTTGGTAAAAACCAGTGGGCCACGTGAGCAGAAACTGTCAATGAGCTGAGCTGGCTCCAGTGCCAGAGAATGGCCAGTCTCTTGCCCCCTGGGTCACTTGTTATCGCCTGCCCCTGTCTTTGCAGCTAACCTCAGTGTGAAGCCCAGGGCTGTGGCTCTCGGGGAGTGGCCAGCCTACCAGGGGCCTGTGCATTGCATCGCCACCATCGTGCGGACGGAGGGCCTGGTGGGGCTATACCGGGGTGCCAGCGCTATGCTGCTGAGGGACGTCCCGGGCTACTGCCTCTACTTTATCCCCTATGTGTTCGTGAGCGACTGGATCACGCCCGAGGCCTGTTCGGAACCCAGCCCCTATACTGTGTGGCTGGCAGGCGGCACAGCAGGTAAGGCAACAGCGTCGGTCACCGTTTCTGTGCTGGCCGCCGCAGTGGGACAGCTGGGGAGCTGACATGCCCTGCTCCGCCATGGGGAGGGGCAGGATTCACCCGCCCACCACTCATCCAGCAATTCATGTTGAGTACCTACCACGTGCCGGAGAAGGGGCTAGGAGTGGGGAACGGTCCTCCCTTTCTCCATCTCCGCTCCCTGGACCTGTGGGGGTAACAAGTACCTCTGTTCAAGCTCATTCAGCTTTTTCAACCAGAAGATACATTTGGAGCACTTCCTCTATGCCAAGTGTTTCTGAGCTTTGCAAAGGAAATCGGTCTCTGCGGCTCACCGTTCTGGAATATTGGCTCACTGTAAGCTTTTCTCATGTGAGTGTTTCATTACCCCCAGAAGGTAGGCGTCAGGCTCCCCATGTTTCAGATGAGGAAGCTCAGGTTCAGAGAAATTAGGTGGCCAACCCGAGGTCACATAGCCAGTTCAGACAGTATAGTAGGGACTCTGCATCACAAAGATCCAAGTTCAAATTCACACTTACTCATTTTGTGACCATGGACCCATTACATAACCTCCCTACTCAGAGCTGGCACCGCATCCCCACGCCTTGTAGGGTCGAAGTCAGTGCCCTTGCAGGGGTGTCTCAGGCTCTCTGGGCTCGGCTTAACCACCTGCACTCACTTTCTGCTCCTGCACCCGACGGCTGAGCCCCAGCCCCACCGCTCTCTCTGCTGCAGGCTGCCTGTGCCCGGCTCTCTCCCCACCATGGGGCCTCGTGGTGGCTGGAGGTCATCGGGGACTTTGACAAGACCCACTTTGATCAAGAGAAGGTGTGATAACCTGATTGAAGTGGGCCTGAGAGAGAGCAGGGCGAAGGAAATTAGAGAACCCGAGTCTCACAGCACTTTTGGGGGTGCCAGGGCAGAGAGAAATGCAGCGGTGGCCGGAGCGGCTCGGCAGTCCAGAGACGGTTGCTGTTTAAGACGGCAGATGCTGAGAGAAGACAAGTGTCTTTCCTCCTCTTCCTCCTCCTCATAATTAGCTATGCTTGAAACTCAGCCAACACAGAACGAAGCCCATGTCTTAGCCACCAAACACCAGTGTTTTCTCTCACCCCCACCAGCTGAGGCCTGGCCTGTACCAGCTCCCGGTTTTGCTCAGTAAGCACTTGCTGGCTGAGAGGACAACCCTCCCCTCACCCCCCCCAAACCCCCGTCACTCATCTCTGGTGAGAGCAGGTGTGAGTGGCGTGGCAGGCCAACCTCCACCCGCTATACCCTCTCCATGGGCTGAGGGACGGGGCGTGTGCCTGTCATCCCGACGGGGGCAGAGGGAGGAGGGGTCCAGAGGGCTCCCTGAGGGCCGAGGGCAGGGGCCACAGGGGCTGGGTGCCAGGGTGGGCAGAGGGCTTGGGGCAGCCATTACAAAACCTTGCAAACCAGCTGCCTTGAACTTCGGCATCGGTTTGCTTTTCTCTCCCCAGCCGAGAGCGTGCCAGCTTTCATGTTTACACAATAACCCTGAATGGTTTTCCTAGAGCCTCTTAAAGTCACAAAAGTACTCCAACCAGGGCATCTGAGCTTATCCAATGAGGGTGACACAGGGGCACGTGGTCCCAAGGCTTCTTCTGCTCCACTATCTGGAAGAGACGAGAGGTTTTCAAAGACCTGCTCCTGCTCTCCTCGGCAGTCCCCAGGCTGGCCCCTCCTTGCCCAGCAGCCTCTTTTCTGCCGGTGTTTGTTCGGGGTGAACCCTGCCTGTGGGAGCCTCTGGCCTTCAGCCTCAGGCCTCCCCCTGGGCCATGCCCTGCCCTGCCCCTGGAAAGGCGCTGCAGACGACCGGCGGGACCTCGTCCTGTCTCTCCATAAAAGCTACCAATACAGGCCTGTAAGGCACTGGCTGTGGGCCTGGCACTGGGCTGAATGCTTCCCATGCATCCGTTTATCCATCCTCACGCAACCCCGTGAAGACAGGGGCCACGGCCCCACTTTACAGATGGCAGAGCCAAGGCCTACAGGGGTCCATGGCAAGTGTCAAGGGAGGCTCAGGAGCGGCCTTTACAGGCCCTAACCCTGAGTGTCTTCACTTCCCTCAGCCTCTGAGGGGGGAAATATGCAGGGTCCCCTCCAGGACCCAACCAGCCAGCCCCTGACACCTGTTTGTCTTTCTCTTCACAGGAGCAATTTCTTGGGGGACAGCAACTCCTATGGATGTTGTGAAAAGTCGCCTCCAAGCTGACGGGGTTTATTTAAACAAATACAAAGGTGTCCTGGACTGTATCTCCCAGAGTTACCAGAAGGACGGTCTTAAAGTAAGCCCCACAGCAGCCATGCGGGGTCGGTGTCAGTCCCTGGAAGGTGGGTCAGACATTTGGGGGGACGTGAGATCATAGAGAAGGGAAATTGAGGTGCTGGCAGTCACCGCTTGCCAAGCACTGTGAGAGAAACTTGTCTCGTCCCTGCCCTGGGCCAGTAGAGGGGGGGTGTGCCCCCCGACGGAGCTTCAGAGGAGACTGGTACCCGCCTGAGGTCCAGCAGCTGCGGTGTGGCAGAGCCGGGACCCGGACCTGTGTCTGTGTGTCACTGATGCTTGCCCTGTCGTCAAAACAGGCTGGGAGGTCCTTCCTCACTCCCTGCTCATGCCTGCCCTCCCCCTCCCCTCCCCCATGTGGGAAGGCCCAGAACCACTTCAGTCACCACAGGTTCCAGCCCCCCGGTCTGTCTCCTGCTCTCCCACCCACACGAGTCCAGAGCCTGACACCTCTGGCCTCCGCTTTTGAGACAGCCTCCAACCAGGCCTCGTCTCCCTCCTCCTCTTTTCTCCTCCCTGCACCCAAGGGTCTTGTCCTAAACCCAAGCTCCTTCTTGCCTCTACACTGTCCCAGAGTAAAGATCAGACTCCCATGCTGGCTTCCAAGGTTATACATGAATTCTCCCTGTCTGTCTTGCCTCCCACAACACCCTGAGCACCCTCCAGAGAAACCCTTGCTCTTCCTCGAGTAGGCCCCTGATTTTCTTGATACGCCTCCCAGGATTAGCAGGCCTGAGTAGCCAGGCCTGGCTACTTGTGAGCTGGAGGAATCCAGACAAGATGTGCTTCACCTCTCCGGGGCTCAGTGTATCAAGGATAACCATGAATAACAGGGATATTCGTGGGTTAAACTGAATTACGCATATAAAAAGTGCCTACCTTAATGCATCACACACAGAGAACATTTAGGAAGAGATCCATTTGTCATTGGTATTAGTATTCATTTTATCCATTTTAATGTTACTGCTGATCTCTGGACCCTCTCTCATTTGGCTGCATTGTTCCAAGCCCTCTGATATTTATTAACTGCCCGCTCCAGTGCATCCAAATTTGTATTTTTTTCCCTCCATCGGAGTGCTGGAACTTCTCCTCTGGAAACCTGGACTTCCACAAAGGCTCTCTCACCTGTGGGTGACTGCCCAAGCCAGTGTTCTCCAGGTGCTTGTGGACCATGGCCAGGAGGGGCTACAGCCAGTTCCCCTGCCGGTACCGAGGCCTGTCTGCTGGATACACAGATGGGAGATGCTCCTCTTGGGTCTCTCAGTGTATGGTGCTGGATCCCACAGCTCCCACGGAGGCACCTTCGTTCAGGGGCGGATGCCACATTTTTGTCCTTGAGCTGGGGGCAAAACAAGGAATGTCTTGTGCTGCTGTGATGCTGACGTCATTCTCCCTATGAATCTGCCTTTACTGAGGTCTTGTCTTCCTCGTACAGCTTCAGGTGACTGTCCAGTGTCGTTTCATGTCACGCTGAAGGACGCCCCTGAGCATTTCTTGCAGAGTAGGTCCAGTGGTGACGACCTTCCTCAGCCTGTGTTTATCTGGGAATGTTTGATTTCTCCCTCACTCTTGAAGGATAGTTTTGCTGCATATAGGACTCCTAATAGACTATTTTTTTCTTTCAGCACTTTGAATGGATCATCCCATTGTCTTCTGGCCTCTAAAGGTATCTTCCTGAGGACCCTTTGTGCAATGAGTTGCTTCTCTTTTGCTAGTTTCAAGATTATTTCTTTGTCTTCATCTCTGAAAAGTTTATTGTGTGTCTTGTGTGGGTTTCTTTGAGTTCATTGTACTTTGAATTTGTCGAGCTCCTTCGATGTTTATATTCATGTCTGTCACCAAATTTGGGAAGTGTTCAGCTGTGTTACTTCAAATATTCTCTCGTCCCCTTTTTTTCTTCTCCTCCTGGGATCCCCACAATGCGTATATTGGTTAGCTTGAGGGTTTCCCACAGGCCCCTCGGGCTCCGTTCTCTTTCCCTCAATCTTTTTTCTTCCAATAACTTTTGGCCTGAATCGTTTTCATTGTCTTATCTTCAAGTTTGCTGATTCTTTCTTCTGCCTGTTGAAATATGCCTTTGAATCCTTCTAGTGAATTTTTCATTTCAGTTGTTATACTTTTCAGTTCCAGAATTTCTATTTGGTTTCTTTATGGATTTTCTGTCTTCACCAATATATTCATGTTGTTCATGTATCATTTTCCTGACTTTTTCCACACCTCCCTTTAGTTCTTCAAGCATTTGTAAGACAGTTGTCTTAAGTCTTTGTCAAGTAGTTTTGCTATCAGGTCTTTTGGGGGACAGTTTCTGTTGATTTATTTATTTTTGAACAGACACTCTTTCCTGTTTCTTTGTATGCCTTATGATTTTGTTGTTGAAAACTGGATATTTGAATCCCCTAGTGTGGTTACTTTCGAGATCAGATTATTTTCTTTTCCAAGGGTTTAGTGCTTCTAGTTATTGCTTTTGTTCATTGTTTTGTTTTTCCAATTGTTGCAGACGGCCTCTGTGCCAAGGACCAGGTGTGAGCTTAAGGTCCTTTCAGGTCTTTTCTGAGACTTCACCTTTCCCTGGGCATGTTCAGTCACTTCCTAACTTTCCCCAAACATGCAGTTGCTTTTAAATGTCCTGGTCCTAAATGTCTGCCTCCCAAATGGGGGAAAAAAGAAAAATGCAGGTAGAGGGGCATGAGCCCTTTAAATCCCCTGGAAGTCCCTGCAGCCCAAGGGGGAGCAGCCTGTATCAATGAGAGTGGGGTGTGCGGAAAAAAAAGGGCACCTCTGCGATCAGAAACAGGTCTTCAGCACTGCGGGGACAGGGTCCCCACTGCCTATCCTGGCTCCCACACGCTGTGCGCACACTGCTCCAGGAACACGCACGCAGCTCCCCACCCTGCCGGGGACACGTGCAGAGGGTGGGGAGCTGCCACCTCACTAAGCACTGAAATTCATCACGATTTACCATCCAGCCCTTTCCCTGGAAGTTGCAAGCCTTCAATAAGCTCCAGAATTCCAAAATCAGATGGATTCTGCTAGTATAGTGGTTGTCTAGAGGGGAAGGCAGATTCCTGGTATTTCCTGCTCTGCCATGTTCCCAGAATTCTCAACTCAACTGCCTTTTTGCAGAGGCACAGTTTGTGATTGACCGATAATCACAGAGGGGCAACATGAGGGAAATTCAAATGGGATGCTCTGTTTTTATTTGAGATATTTCTGTCTGCTATCTGTAATATTAATGCCATAATCTGAAAGTGTCTGTAGTGGCAAAATATATTGCTAATTTATTTCCTCCAAAAATTACAGTGCTCTGTAAAAAAAAAAAAGATCCTAATATTCAGCCTGGTTAATCAGCTCATGGGGATTAATTTTTAATTTTTTAATTAGAAGGTTAAAGATAGATTGTGTACAAACACAGGAAGCTTCAAAAGGTATAAGAGGATACATTGTCCAAATGTCCCTCCTGCGGGTCCTCTCTCACAGGCAGTCACTGTCATTTCTGTGATATATTCCAAAAATATTCCAGCCTGTGCAAGCATATAGGTGGGTGTGTATTTATGTACATTGTATGTGTGTTTGCATATAAATAACATATAGTAACAAAGAAACCCCCCACAGTCCTGGAAAGCTGGGCTGTCTCACAGTCAAATCCTTAGCGGTGCGAAGAACGCCTTTTCCCAGGGCTGAGGGGTGGCTCCAGCCCCAGGGGGCTTGGCCACGGGCTCTGAGGGATGCCTGTCCTAAAGCACTTGTACTGCCAGTCCCTGGGGCACGGTGCAAAGCTCCAGGCTGCTCCCACCGTCCCGTGGGTAAGAGAGAATCGGAAAGCAGGGAAGTGGTAGTGATGGTGCCCGATTCCAGTAGCCCTTTCTGTAACTCATGTGGTTAGTGCCAGTCAGGCAGCCTTCATGGTAAGGACCAGAAGTCCATGGACTTTCAGGGCACTCCCAAGCCAGGACAGAAGAAATGCCTGGGTCCACTCTCTGCCTGCTCAGAGGTTCGTCGTGGGTCGCATGGGCCACGGCTCTGACCTGGAGAGCTGTCTCCGAAATAAGGATGCCAGGGGCAGGGGGGAGTGACAAGGTGTCCTGTAGCTCCACAGAGGTGGCTGTTGTGAAAGGGGTGGGGACAGTTGGATGGGACTGGATAACTCCAAGGAGGGCCAGGGAGGAACGTTTGTGGCAGACAAGCTCTCCGAGGCACCAGGGCTGCTTGCTCTTTGGTTCTGCACCTTGGGGTTCGGGAGCCTTTCGTTACCCCAGGAATCCCCCTCAAGGACAGTCACCACTGGGGCTCTCACAACTCAGAGGCCATTCTGTTTCATATCACAGAGTTTTTCATTCATTTGTTCATTTGCTTATTCATCCATCCATTCATTCTTCCTTTCATCCATCCGTCCAGCCAGCCAGCCAGCCAGATACTGACTCATTTCATAAGACTTACTGAGGGTTCTAGGCCACACACAGTGCAGGTGCTGGGGACTCAGAAGCAAAGCTCACACACTGCCCTCCCTACCCCTTGCTGGCAGTATTAGTGTGAGAACACGCAAGCCATGGGCAATCGGAAGATGGTGTGAGAAGCGCTGTGTCAGCAGAGACACTGAGTGCAGGGAAGGCAACAGGCCCGATTCTAAGCTGGGGTGGCCCTGGGAGGGCTACTCGAGGGTGCAGCCAAGTCTGGGGGGCATTCCAGCAGGGGCCCAGTGATGGGGGGAGGTGGCCCAGTAGGAGGTGTGACAGGCTGTTAGCCTGCCCAGAGTGACAGGTGTAAGGGGCAGCCAGAGAAAGCACAGGAACAGAGAGCATGGATCCTGACAGGCCAGGAGGGTGTGCACTTGACCCTGGGCAGTGGGGAGCTGTTGAGGCTCCATGAGGAACAACCCAGTCTAGTGTTTTGTGTTCTGGAAGCTGCAGTAAAAGCCAGAAAGTCTTCGCTTTCTTCGCCACCATTCGGCCTCGCAGAGCAGAGGCAGAGCAGACACGGCTGCTGGGGGGAGGTCACAGCTGTCTCTCCGAAGTGGCCCCTGGCTCCTGCAGGGCCCAGTGCTGTGGGACAGGAGGATCATACTCCACACTGGGTCCTGTCTGGCTTCTTGCCTCGAAGAACCCAGCCCAGGTCCACAGGGGGCCTCTGAGGGCACCTGGCAAGGGATTTTCCTCCAGGAGCCTTGGGTATGCCTGTGGAATTCCAGAAAGGCTGGACATGAGGAGGAGTGCTAATGGTACAAGGTCCCGCCCACCCCCCCACCCGAATTGTTCTAGGATTTAGAGGGGCCACCAGCCCACCTCTGGGATCCTGGTCCATCGGCCCCCTTCCCCGAGGTCGAGGCTTCCCCCCGAGCCCACAAGGCCCTTCTCCCCGCATCCCAGTCAAGCTGTGTCTCTCAGGCCACCAGCATCAAGGTGCAGGCGCCTCCCCTGAAGGAACGTCACCTGATGTCCTGGCCAATGACAGTGGCCTGTACCACCTCTGATACCACAGCACCCAACTATCAGGAAAAGGGGAATGCAAAGGGTTGGATTTCTGCTTTCTTAAAATTACAACACCAGCTCTATTTTATGAACTCAGCAAATCATGCAAATCACACAGGAGTCAGTTCACAGGTTTGCTCTGATGCCTGACCGTTACTGGTTGTTTATCTTGAGTAGGAGCTTGCCTGTAGACGGTGCATCCAGAGACGACCCTTAAGGACAGTTCCCTTCCACCCGCTGCTCACCAAAGCCCTTATCTGTTCTCAGCATGTTCTGCATGATGTGTAGTTATTCCGGAATGGGGCTCAGCTCTACTCATAGGGTTAAACCTTCAAGGGCTGGAGTTAGATGGCATTGATGAGTGTGTTCCTGCAGCAGGCGAGAAGATACGGGCAGGAAGGGAAGCATCTTATCATATTCCCCAGGGATGGGAGACACAGGCAGTCTCCTTAAGTCAGAGGCTGGGCTAGCTGCTCATCCACACAGGCCCCACTGAGGACCCTCCTCTGTACAAAGCGACGTGACAGTGAACAGATAAGGAATGCTCACGGCGTGGCGGGCACCATGTAAGGTCTTCACAGCATCGTCTTGTTATTCCCTCAGCAGCTGCATCAGGTCAGCGTGTGCCGCCCCCACACCCCCCCATGGCACAGCTGAAAAATCTGAGCTCCCAGAGCTCACCCAAGTAGCACAGCTTCTAAACGGTGAAGCTGCGCCCTGACTCTGTGTCTGCCACCTCCAGCACAGCCTCCCCGCCCCGGCCCCTCGGGGGACATGCTGTGACGCACCCGTCACAGTGGTGGCCATGGCTGGGTGCTCTGTCTGCCATTGCCCAGTGGAGCGCTCTCACTCCCAGACTCCTGAGAACTGTGTGTGCATGTGTGCACGTGTGTGCATGTGTGTGCGTGTGTATCTTTACAAGAGAAAGCAGCGACTGAGCAAGTGTGTGTGGGCGTTCACAGGACTCACGGGGCCCCTGTGGCATTCGGTGCTTATGGATCAGGGCCTGGAAGGAAAGTGCCATCAGGTGTCACCCGGGTCCGGGCAGGGGCATGGCTGGGACGTCCTGGGTGGTCCTCACCTGCACGGGGCCTTTGGACTCTGTGGGCTCCGGCCTGAGATGGGGGCCTGCATGGCATCACCACCAGCCCCCTCTCCATGCTTCAGTGGTGGCCCTGCAGAGGGTGCAGGCCAGTCCCCTGTGGTAACACGTCTCCTGTCGAAGGTGTTTTTCAGAGGCATCACGGTGAACGCTGTGCGGGGCTTCCCCATGAGTGCAGCCATGTTCCTGGGCTATGAGCTCTCGCTGCGGGCCCTCCGCAGGGACCACGCGGTGACCGGCCCCTGAGCACCAGGTCAGTGTGCTTCCTCCCCAGCCGACCGCACCTCCCAGAGCTTTGGACTCTCTTCTTTGCCATGAAAATGTCTTTCTGGCATTTGTCTGCTATCCAGCCCAAGTTAGTCCTGGGGCTGGACTGCTACCCTGCTTGTCATCCAAAGGCCCTTCTCAAATGCCTCCCTGAGTCCAGTGGGGAGCGGGGTGCTCAGGACTGACCTCTGTAGAGTCAGCTCACCCGTCTGGTTTTCCACACAGAGAGAAGTGTAGTTTCACTGTACAATGTAATGCCCCGGGCTCAGAAGTGAGGACTCAAACCAGGGCGTCCACCCGCTGTCACACGGGCACCATCCCCCCATCTCCCTGACAAACTCAGAGCCTGAATCTGAGAGCAGCAACAGGCTTCCAAAGCTCTAGGGGAGGACCTCTGCCCGCTTTCCTTCCCCCCACACCCTTTCCTTCTCCCTCTCTCATTGCTGAAAGATCACAGTGGCCCGAAGGACCTAAAAACAGAAATCTTAGCTACAGACCCCCTTACTCAAATGCCTTCAGTGGCTCCCCATTGCCCTCTACATAAAGCAGCCATCCTTGCCCGCCTTGCGCTCACTGCCCTCCTAAACCTACCACCCTCACTGTCATCTCTGGATCTTTCCACACGTCCCTGCCTGGCCTGTCATCCCCACCCTGTTTTCACACCTTCCCCCTTGTCCTTGGCTTCATCAACTCCTCTTTGTCATCCAGGCCTTGGTCTAGAAGTCTCTTCCTCCAGGAAGCCTACCCTGATGCCTCAGCCAGGAGGAGTTGTGCCTGGTGTGGGCTCCCTCCCACAGCTCCTGCTCAGTCCCTACCACATCTGCCTGCCTTATATCTGCCCCTCGCTCCCCAGCCAGCATGAAAGTCCCAGGAGAGCTGCAACTATTATTTCTCCTCTGTGTGGCCTGTGCCTCTCCCAGAGCTTGGCACGAAAATAGCCAGAAACATCATGGAGTGGCGGGATGGTCCACCTCCAGTGTCTCCTCAGCTCTTCCTCTTGCTGTCCTCTTGTTTCTCTACCTCTCGCCTCAGACTGGTCACTTGCAAGGCTCAGAAGACAGAGTGGAGTGAGTCACTGAATTTTTCAGTTACCCAGAAACCATTTTGCTTGGTTGCGGTGACTGCCAATTCTCCCAAGAAGGATGAACTTCATCAGGAAGGTTGAGCAAGCCCCCTGCTGCCTACGGGAGGGAGCTGAGCCAGGACACCCACCGGGGCCAGAGCCTGGCACCGGGGCCAGAGCCTGGAGCCACGGCTAGGGCAGGCCAGGCCAGGCCAGGCCCAGCTGGCTAGAGCAAGCCCAGGCTAAGCCCTGGACGTGGCTCTAAGTCAAGTGCTGTTAGCTCTTTCCTAAAGCACCCACACACACAGCTTTCCCGGCTCACTGCCCTCTCACACAAAAGCAAGGGGGTAGCAACACCATTTGCATAGCTAAACACCTCGTGTGGCGGGTGACTGTGCGAGGTTCTGTCCAGGTCAGGGAGGAGAGGTCAGTTCTGAAAGCTGTGCTCAGATATTGGCCACTCCCCTCTTTGAAGAGATAAAAAAAATCCTATAATAAAACAAATGCATTTTTATTGTAGAAAAATGGAAAAAAGAAACTAAAAGAACAACAACAACAACAAAAACCCTGTAATTCCAAGACCTTCCTATTATTCTTCCAAGTGGTTTTCTGTGTGCAGCCCAGCACCGGGTCCTGCTTCCCACGATGTTGCGTAACGCTCTGCTGCTTAGCAGTCCAGGGCCATTCTTCCATGTCCTTAAGTCTTCAGCTCAAGGGGGTTTTAACGCCCAGACCTGGCAGATCCAGAGTGGCTGGACGCTTGCCGACAGCTGCACTCTGCTACTTGTGACCACCCTGGTGACTGGCTACTGCAGGAGGAAGGAAAGTGTTCTGAGCAAGCCAAGTCCTGACTGTTTTGGATTTGGCCATTCAGAACAGTGACCACCCCAACTGGAAGCTTTTCTTTCTGAAAGTACTCTGAATGTACAAGGGCACAGATGTCTGTCTGTCTGTCTGTCTGTCTTTTCTCTGCTGGCATGGGAAGGAGTCTGGTGCCTCTCAGCTGGGATGAGGGGGTTGCCGTGACTTTTGGGGACCCTCATCTTAAACCAGCCTCACCCAAGGAGTTCAACTTCCTGCCCTAATGCAAGGAAACCAAGACCCTCTAGTGAGTCCCAGATTTGAACCTGCCTCGGAGCTCTGAGGTCTCAGAGAGGTCATGGTCCAGGCCAGAGTAATAGCCGCACTCTGACCGCAGGGAAACCATGCCTCCCTCGTAGTCCAAACCGAGGATGGACAGTGAGATGATGTTAGAGGACACCGGGGAGTGGTGGGCGGTATTGGCCAGCGGTGGCGGGGGGCGGGGAACTGTACTCAGGCAAACGGCCCTGCTCGGAGCAGCCTCAGCCTCCGTCCACCGACCAGTCGCAGAGCCTCCCGGCCTCCCTGACGTCCCAGGGAGAACACTTCTTTGTCACCCACTTGCTGGGTTTTTGTCTCCAAGTCAACATGTGAGTGCCCCGAGGACCATTTGTGACTGACTGAACACAGCATGAGGTGGTTGTTCTGTGATGTGGTTAGTTTTCTCTGTTCAGCGGAGAATCCAGAGTCAGACAACACGAAGAAGGTGACCTCTGGTGATAGAAAGGGGGTCCCAACCACTGGCCGGCACTCAGTTCTTGGGCTTGTCTGAGGCCCGCGAAGCCATGGCACGCATTCCTGCCAGCCCCCACCCCAATCCCCTGCCTCTAGAACCTTCTTGGAATAATGCTGTCCTGCCCCATGCCCTGACTTTCATGCTCTTCACTGGCCTAATTTCAATTTCAGGAAAATTCATTTTCAAGGAATGAAGATACATTCTTCCCGCATTTACAAATAACCTGGACAGCCTCATGGCCTTGCACCAGCCCAGTCTCACGGTGATAGTGGCTGGTTGCTGCTTCACTGAAACAGCTCCAAATGGGTGGAATGCCAGATCTCGCTGACTGATAACCCCAGATAGATGAAGCCTGCTCTTTCCTCCTTTTTCCCCAGGGCCAGGGCTGGTGTCACCTGACCAGGGCTGCATCCCCACAGCTGCAGGGAGGGTGTGGCCATTCCAGAAGCTGTGAATCTCAGAATCCCTGCTCTGCTGATGCCAAGCGCTCTGTTCTGGCGCTCCGGGCCGGAGCCACCGAGCTGCTGCCTGGGAAGGACCAGTGCTCGATCACTGTCTCTTTCAGATCTGCACTGGCATCTGGTAAAAAGTGGGGTGACATGGACCCTGCTCCCCACAGCTGCTGTAAACTCCCTGGGAATTCACAGAGGAGCTGGAGTTGTCTCTAAGTTTCCAAATAAAAACACTGAAAACTTCTACAGGTCCTTTCTGTGTCAGATGCTTCTGCCTGGAGAGACACACAAGCCACTCTCGCTCCTCCCTCTGTTTAGGTCCCCGTAGATGTCACCCGGACACGAGGCCGCTCCACGCAGGTGAGAAGGCTCACTTCGCTTTTCCCAGCTGCCCAAGGTGGGCAGGGAGGGCGCAGTGGTGGAGGGAGAGGAAGCCCCGGAGGCGTTCTTCCGACCCTGCCAGCGCCCATGCTGATCCAGCGCTTCAGCAGTGAGGCCCTGAGCACGGGTGGTATGGGCATCCTCTGGGCCTTATTTTCACATGTAGAAACACAGCAAAGCAAAATAAAATACTTGTCCACTGTTTGGTTTACAGAATGATGCCATGATTCTAAGTTGTATTTCTCACTAGCACCATGCGGGGAGGCCCTGCTCCCCTGCTGTCAGGTGGCATGGGCCGCACTGCTGAGCCCACTACAGGGGCTTTACTCAGGCGGAGAGCCCTCTCCGGTGGGGCTGAGTGGAGCTTCAGAATCCTCCTCAACACAGTGCCCTGGACAGCCACCACCAGCCAGTCACAAATGAATCTCTTTGCCGTTCCTAGCTTAAATCCCAGTGGGGAAAATACCCTTAGATTTCTTTTCTCTTTTCCCCCCCTAGATTTCCCCACACCCCGCCCCCCATACCCCGTGAGTGATTCACAGTGTGTCTCTGGAAATCCCCTGCCCTAACAGACCCAGCACCAAGACAAAGCATTGCTGGGCACAAAGAAATTGAAAGTGTTGGGTCTCATCAGTTTATCCTGCTGCTTTAGCAAAGGGTTCCCTCCTTGAAAAGAAGCCTCAGTATGCCCGCCTTGATCTCTCTGCTTCATGGCCCCTGGCGATGGGGCGGGGCTTTCCTGAGCACATCTGCAGTCTACACTGTCTGTCCCTCGCCCTGGCTGATGTAGCTCAGTTTCTTGGGACATTGTCCAGTAACTGAAATGTTGCAGGGTCGATTCCTGGTCAGGGCACATACCTAGGTGGCAGTCCAATTCCTGGCCTGGGCAAGAACGATTCCCCCATCTGTGGACATACAGGAGGCAACAATTGATGTTTCTCTCTCTCCTTTCCTCTGTCTGTCTCCCTCTAAAAGCAATGGGAAAAATATGTCCTTGGGTGCAGATTTAAAAAAATAAATAAATGAACTCTCCATCCCTCCAGGTGTGGAGCATTCTTTCATTTCTTCAGTCATCAAACATGTGTGGAGCACCTGTTACATTCAGACACTGTCCTCTAGGTTGGGGACAGCAGTCCTTCCATTCTGGTGTATGGTTCTGTCGACAGGAGAAGTGGGTCTGCCTGCCCACCCCAGCATTGCTGGTCCTAGGCAGGCATTGTGGACACTGGGGAAGAGAGGTTCACGGGCTTCTAGTCCATTCCTGGTGACCCAGGGTCTTTTATCTGACATGTCCTAGAATGTGTTAAGTCTGCCTCAACTAGTCCTCCTGGTGCTGGTGCTGGTTGCCCAGTTAGTTTGGAAGTGGTGGTGTATTCACAGGGTCTGTCTGCAGGACTTCCCCGATAAGGCTGAGATCCAATGAACAACCTTCTGCAGGTGTCGGACCCCTCCCAGTTTCTCCTGATCATTTTATGATCCACTCCATGATAGGAGGAGGCAAGTGAAAAGAAGCATTGCTGACAGTTTACAGATGGAGAAACTGCAGCTCCAGTGTACCTGTGCTCCTCCCTAGAGCTTGGACTGCCAGTTCCAGGCGATAATTTTCTCGAGGCTACACTGCCGCCTGCTGTTCAGCCCAAGGAACAGTTTTTTGTTGTTTTTTTTTTTTTCCCTTGGCTTTATAAAGAAAATTGTTTGGAGATACAGTGTACAAGTCCCTAATGCCACTGAAGGCCTTTGGGAATTCCCATCGTGGCTGCTCTTCCAGGCTCACCTCCTGTTGTCCTATTCCAGGTTCCCTGTACTACAACCAGTTTTTCCATCCCATCCAGGGCCAGGAGCATAATAGGCATTTAAATATTTGTTGAAGGAATGACTAAGTGATCCAAACATCGCACCGAACCAGCTCCTATCTGCCCACCACCCTCCGGGCTTTCCTGCCTCTGTGCTTTTTTCGTTAGCCTGGATACCCTGATCTCTATGAACAGGGAACATTCCTGTTACCAGTCAAAAAAATAACATTACTCTTGTGAACTCTGAAGGCAGTGGGGAGAGGCAACACCTACTAAGAGGGGCTCCTGGTGGCTAACTGGGCTTACTTAAAAATAATAATAATAAAAACAGCTTAGCAGCCATTTCTGTAAGGGGTCTCTCATGCAAACTGCACTTCACGAAGAAGCCTGTACTGAATTACCTACCTGCTGTTTCTGCCAGCTGAGCCTGTCCTTATAAAGGTTTCCTGGAATCCGATTTCAACCAGTAGGATTGAGACTTTCCTCATCCAATCACAGCTGCGTAGCTTTAATAAGAGAGGCTCAGTTCTGACCAATCAGGACAGTGCCTTTCACACCCATCGAACTGTGAAGATTTGAAGCCCTCATTTGCAAGAGGACAGACCAATCAGGGACAAGGGGCAGGGACTTCTGTCTGTATAAACCATTTCCCCCGCTCACTTGTGAGTACACTTTTTCTTTCCACTGAGGAATGAAGCTGTGTCTCCCTGGTGAGTTGAAACTCTGAAGATGGGCTCGGAGTGGAGTGGAGCTGTCTAGCTGGAGAGAGAGGCCTGGCCCCAGGGCTGTTCTATAGCCGCACTATTTTCACAACTCGTGCTGTGTCACAATTGAGCTGTTTTTCAGTGAATAGTTTCCTTCTTCACCTCGCCCCAGAAGGGAGATTTTTGCTGGCGTTGAATGGGCACCAATGACCATTAGTTGACACTCTGTAAAAACAGTTCTCAACAGCAGTCCCTCTCATTCTGCAAGATTGCTGAGGGCCTCGAAGAACGTTTGTTTTTGTAGATTGTAACATTTACCGGAAATTAAATCAGAACTTTAAAAATATTTAAACCCCATCACATGTTAACATAGTAACATTTTAATGAAAATAGCTATTCTTTCCAAAGATATATAATGAAAGAATTGCACTGTTACATTTTCACAAATCTTCCCTGAATTCTGCTTTTCACAGCGGACAGGTGGATCCTCACAGGCTCCTGCTTTCACTCTGCTGTGCCGCCCCTTGCCGTGTAGCCTTTGGAAAACTCCATTGTGCATTTCTGAGAAAATGAGAAGGGCAGGTGCTATCTCAGTGTTCTTTGAAAATAGTTTTGACCCGAGGGCTCCCTTTGAGACCTCTGCTCTGCTCTAGAAAAGAATCTGCCACCCAAAGGCTTTCCTGGCTGTTAAGCTGCAGAATCGCCACTTGGTGGCAGCAGAGGTCAACAACGCCGCAGGTGTCAAGTTCTGGGAGCTTGTGGCCTTGGCCTCTGTGGTGACAGCACCTGGGCCCTGTGACATTACTCTTCCTGTTTTCTGGGTCTCGTTGTTGTCCTTTAACTCCTCTGCGTTGGAACGAGCCTCTGGCGAGGGAGACCTTCGCCTTGTGTTCCAGTTTCAAGTCTGTCTTCAGCTACCTGTGTGACCTCAGCAACCTCTGCCTCCGTTTCTTCATCTGTAAAATGGCCACACGAGTGTCCCTTACCTTCCAGGGCTTCGGTAAGAATCAAGGGAAAAAATGGTTTTGTAACCTGTGAAGTGCAGAACATAGGGGTTGAAGGAAGGCAGGGGCGAGGTGGGGCGAGGGCGCGGTCACTGTGATTGTTTTGTTTCCGGTTTCAGCCTGCCTTCCTCTCGGTGAGTCCGGGTTGTTTGCATTTCTAAGGGGGCACATGGGGTGGAGGCAATGGCGTTTCCTGGGCCTTGTCCCAGCAGCCGAAACTCCAAGAGTTCCAGACACCTGGCTCCTTGGCCTTTGGACCTGTAAATGAGTGTCTGAAACACATTCTGTGGTTGGAGTGGCTGCAGATGCTGATGCAGTCCTTCTGTGGCCGGGGTGTCTGACAAGCCATTGATTCCAGCACTTCAGAGTTCTGGCCCCTCTCTGTCAGGCTGACATCTGAGAGGTTTCCAGAAAACACTTGATCCAGCAGAAAAGTCCAGCTCCATGAGCACCTAGGAGCCGGAAAAGCCACCCAGAGAATCACTGCTTCTCTCTTCTGGCTGAGAGTAGCAGTCGCTTCTGCCAGTCATAAGACCCACCCCCAGTGCCTTGCCCCTCCTACCTCCCTGGGCAACACACAGGTCTCTCTGCTCCACACCTGCAGACCCTGAAGACGCTGCTGCCCGGTGTTGACCTACTGAGTTCAGCACCTAGCACTCACTGTGTGCTTTATTGGTTTGCTGAATGATTCAGCCACTTCCTCAGGTGTACACAAAACCAATGAAACTTTCTCTCCATTAACTTAATTGTTTTTTTCAAGCACGCATTCTACCTGATGACCTTTTCAGGGTGTGCCCCGGGCCAGTAATATGTAACCTCTCTGGGCCTCGGTTTCCTCATCTGTGCACTAGGAATGATTATATACAATATTACTTATCTATCTCAAAGGGTGGTTGTAAAGATCCAACTACGGTAGATACTTGGCAAAACATGCTGAGCCCAGGGCTTGGTAAGAGTAAATGTTCGGTAAATGGGAGTTCTCCTCTCTCACAGGGGCCTTCTAGATAAGTCCCAGCTGTGCGGGCACACGGAGGAGCGTGGTTACAGCGCCCTGGCCCAGGCCCCGACAATCCCGCTTTGAGCTTGCCTGCAGGGGTGTGTCCTGTGGGTTTTACAGCCTTTGCAGAGAAGCTGCAGGAAACCACCAAGTTATGCTGGCGATGAGTCGGTGACAGTGGGTTGCAGCTCATCATTCTGCCCATCTCCTCTGGCAGCGATTGTGCCCCCAGGTTCTGTTCTCAAACCAATCACCAGCATCTGTCCTCGAGGTGATCCCCGAGCAGGGTGAGCCTTGCTGAGCTGGCCGCTCTGAGGCTGGGGCTGTAAACCACATTGCGTAACTCGACACAGTTGTGTCTGGGT